TGTTTAGCAACAACCAGTGCACCAGACTAACCTGTAGGTGCATGTATGTCTGTTTGCTTGATTACATGTGCATGTTGAAGTGAGCGAACACTTGCTGCGAGCCGACCTGTGTTACAGCGGCTGTAATTGATTGTGTGTGTGCTGGTGTCTTGGTGTTAAGGTTAATTTCTCTAACTGCTGGTAAGTGCTGTCTGACCGCTCCCCCGACGGCCTCTCCGAGCTGAAGTAATGCCACTTAGAGGCCCCGGGCCCCCGCCGCCGGCCTGCCCATTGATCCACGGATCAATAGTTGCATCTGTAGCTTACACTGAGCAGGGAAGCTCCTGCACTGACCTGACACAAACATGCAGACTGTGGTATAAAGACCGCGGCCACGCTACACAAACGGTTTGCAGGACGTGGTCATGGAATCACCCTAAGGGTCCTTAAAAAGACTCTCAGATGAGTCTCCAGTGAAATAATGTTGACTTTAATTTCAGTATCATTTTATCTAGGAAGAGTTATCCCCTCATCACGAGGATTTCCCCTTAATGTGCAGACAGTCTTCAGATTTGTTTCTGATCTAGATGACTGAATAGTGATGTGGTCAGTGTTAGCTAACAGCTAAATTATAACAGTGCACACCTATAATAATAAAGTTAGATTCTTTTGGACTTCAGTTTGCAGCAGGTAGAATTTCCTTAGCAACAAGTTATTTTCTGAAAAGCTCATACAAGTCACATGTGTGCACTTGGAATAGTTCTCTGAACTGGTTTGACATTTTATATTTATTGCTAAATCTTGACTAAAATGCTGCTCTTTATTTTCTGCATTTTGTTGTTTTCCATTTCTCTTAAACCCTAATACTTCTTTCATTCCCCTTCTTTTTCCTCTTCACTCATTGTCTCTTTGACCTGCTCCCCCGCCAATTCTAACATAACCAGGGTCATTAAAAGTTATCGATACAGAAAAATAAATACTTATTTTGAACGTCTGAGGTCCTTCTCTGAGAGCACAGACCTCCATTTCAGAAGAGGTTCCTTCTACCTTGATAGAAAACAAAGAGACAAGGACGAGACTCTGAAGGATGTTTGGATGGATTGTGCTGAAGAGTGCAATTCATATATATGATGAAGTAAAATGTCCCTATATAATCTACAGTATCAGCTCTGTACGTGTTTATTATAAATAACTGATTGCTGAGACATTTCTGTCATCTGGAAATGAAAATGACATCACCTCCCTTTTCTTCCTCCTGTTGTTTTTATTCCTCTCAGGGAGCCTCCATCTTGTTTCAGATCACAGTCAATAAAGCAGCCTGCCCCTCTCTATCTTTCTCTCTCTCTCTTTTCCTCCTCCCCTCTCTCATCCTCTCTCCCACTTTGTGTTAAAGGAATCAGTCAGTCAGAACACTCAAAACACATATTAAACAGGCATCAGCCTCTCGCCGGGCCCAAATCACGCTGTTCAAATGTTGTTCTTCCACCGGGAGCGCAGGACAACTGAAGAGATGGGATCTGCAACATTAACTTGATTCACGGCTGCGGCGACTGAGTGACACTCCATAAACCTCAGCGGGCCGCCGCCGGGCCCCGCCGACAGCACCCCATGGCTAATGTGAGACACACCAGCATAGCCTTACCACCCCCCACAGCACACACACATTCAGGGACTGGCATATACATACAAATGATCATATATCGTGGCACACATTTTGCAGACGCACACACGGGCAAAACGTGACCCTAACATCCACCTACGTATTGACACACAAACACAACATTTTGATTTGATAAATTCACATAAATACATACATTAACACAAATTTGGCACAAACTGACCAAAATATGCCCTCTTTCTCTTGCACACACAAACACACACACACTAAGTCACACACACACAAACAAGTTTTATGGTAATGCAGCAGAAAGAGTTATTGTCCTCTCTAGCCGACCTCTCAGCTTGTAGCGTTTTGGCGTAGGCAGTTAGCATGGGCTCTGTGTAAATAGGTAACCTCTGCTGCTCAAAATGCCAACTTCCTCTGGCTGTGTGCAGCACTGCTGACTCCATCCACAAACTAACTACTCTGCTTGTCACTTGAGATACAAATAGTACGATCCAATGTGATATATAGTGCACAGACTTGGTGCCTGTGCTCTGCAGCATTGTAGAGAATTACTTAATAGTTCACCTATATATAAGTGTAGTTAGGAGAGGGATATGCACCAAGAAATGTGAAGACAAATAGAGACAAGAGGCAAACTAAAAAGCCTTCTCTGTTGTCAGTAGCCAGGAAAATGTACCATTCACATGAAGTCATGGTATTAAATGTGGACTAAATATTCCAAACAATTGCTCTAGTCTCTTTTACAGTAAAAAAGACACAGTTTGTAGTTTTATAGAATTTGTGGTCAATGCTCTGCATCTCCCAAAAAGCCTCAAAAATGCTTTGCACACATGCACAAAACTCAAAGAATGTTCAGGTTTAGCTGCATGTGTGAATGCTAACAGGCTAATTTAACGCCCAACTTTAACTGGAAATTTTCCTGCCGGCCCTCCTAGTGAAATTCTTTAATGTGAAGTTGGGCTGAGCCTATAGAAGGCAGCAGGAAACATTAAGGAAGTCACAGCGAGCGGGCAGGCGGGGGTGATAGCATTGATATCATGTGCCTGGTGAAATCTTAATGCTGCTTCATTTTCTTTTCTGCTCACAGTATGTTCTTTTCCACTAATTCATCGATACATTAAGTATGTCCAGTTATACCCCAACCCTGACGTGTTGTTTCCGCCATCTTGGATTACATCAGCATCTGTTTTAACATTAGGTCTTGCCTGCTTTACCTGTGAGAAAACAGCTGAAGACAAAACAGTCTACTGAAAGAGAGAGTAAGAACAGCTTGATCCTTACAGATGCTCTGAATCTGAACTTTGCTGAAGTGGAATGGAGGTGACTGGGGCGGAGGAGAAAGGGTCGCAGAGATCGCACTGAAAAGACAGATGGACTGTGGAAGAGAGAGAACAGGTTTTAAAATTTGACAGCAGCAGGATGATTGGTTTGGAGTGGTTGTGGCAGAATCTGGTTGGTTAATTACTTAAAGAACAAACGGCCATAATCAGCTGATCACCAGAGGGGCGAGAGACGGAGGAAGTGGTCGAGGGAGAGGATGAAGTTGAATGAAGAAATGAATGAATGTGTGAGAAAACAAGTCTTCCTGCTTGAACTTACACTGATCTCCATTTGTAACTTTTCTGTCAAGATGCCCATTATGATTGAAAAGCAAAAAAAAAGAACACATTGGTGAAATGATCTCCAGTTTCTGCATGAATTTGAGATTCTTTATGAAATGAGATTTCTAAAGATGAAGCGTCCAGAATTATTCTTGCTTAGCTCCTTTACTAAAATAAACCTCACATATGTCAACTGATGTAGGTTTGGGCTTTTCATTTCTAAAGGGTTTCAAATCAAGCCTTGGTGCTTCAACAAGGTTCTCCTCATGTATCTTGTTATATGCTTTAGTTGTGACATAAGTAAAGGGAACATTCATATATTAAAGGAACAGGAAGCTTTGATAGAAAACTCCAGTAAACAGAGAATCTATAAATGCTCTACAATCTTATTTTTTTAACCAAATGCGTTGGGAGCATTTCACTCTCTCATGCACAGCTTTGTCATTTTAACCTCGTAACAGCGAGGACAAAAACGAGTTTTCATTGAGACTATCAAGTGTGTTTTCTGTCCAGGCCATAACAGTTCTATATTTCTCATTTCTCCAGCAATTCATGTTGAAGCTCTTAAAAGGTACATCCAGTATTAGTCCAGTGTATCCACAGACTCGTGTTCACTGCGTACTTGTTCAATAAGAGGAAGACTAGACGCCAAAACATCTCTGTGGCTGTTTACTCTGGAGAAAGGACGGGGCACGGCTGGGTCAGAGGCCGTTTGCAGCGAGACTCTGACTTTCTGATCACATTGTCACAGTGTGAGTGCAGGACATTAAATGTCTGGGGGAGATAGGAACATCAATGATTGATGAGTTTGTTCCTGTATGTATTCTGAGATCTGTGATCTCGTCTGCACTCTTGGGTGGGAAACCTTGTACCTCAAAATGTCAACTTTTCAGGAAACCAAGTTCCAAACAGAGGTTGTCTTGTTATTTTATAAAAAGTTCTGGTTTTGGGGGAGAATTTTGAGAACCTGAAAGGGTTTCATGAGTCTTAACAGTTGTACCATTTCCCATAAAGTGCTAATCCTTTGCAGGAAAAACAGTCAATGAAATTGTCCCATATGTTTAAGTGTCTCTTCAATACGTTCATCTGCGCTCAGAAGCCGAGGCGAGTCTCCTCTTCACTGTCTCAAATCCCCATTTCTCTGCATAGATTAGCCCTACAAGTGTCTGAGACCGGCGCTGTTTAAACAATGGCATTTCTAACACTGTTCCTGTCACCTTGGAAACGCCATGGCAACCTGTGATCTGAGAGGGCACAGTGTGGCTCAATTAGCACCAGCCGTATCTCAGCGCACTCGTCTGCCAAACTAATATCTCTGTATTCTGTCTCCTTTCATACATTAATGACACAAATACATGAAGTGTGACATTGCCTTTTATAGCAGCTTCCTGTCTTCATAGCTGTCCTCCTTTTTGTTCACAGCGATGGCTGTTAAAACAGAAAGTTCAACAGCTCACTGAGAGTATTAGTGGAGAAACTGAAGAAATTAAAATTCATTTGTGGCTGGTTTTTCTTCCCTGGGGTTTGATTGTGAACGTCTTGCCTTTGATTTTCTTTTTGGACTCAAAAACTTATTTTCTATCTCTCTTTTTACAGACCACCGTCGTCTTACTTTACTGTTACAAAACATGCATTCACAAGGGGAATATTTTTTTTATTTTTAGTGATTCAAAGTCTTTATCCTTGTGTTGGGTTTTGGTTTTCAGTTTAAGCAGTCTATGAATCTTAATTAAAAAAAAATCAAAAGTGAAAAAGGTGAGATGTAGTAAGAAATGTGTCTCTGTGTTCCCCAGGTATCGTGTCCAAGTCTTTCGAATGTCGCCTGAAGGGTCAGGGGGCAGCGTTTGTGGAGACAGAACTGGTGGGCTCCCCTATGAGTAAGAAGGGCTCGACTGATGCATCCGGCCACGACGGCTCCATCCAGCAGGTCATCATCATCCAGGGCTATGGTGAAGGGAACGTGGCCATCGACCAGGCCCTGGAGGAGTCGGCCGCCGCCACCCTGCAGACGCTGGCCATGGCCGGACAGGTGGCGGAGGTGCTCCACATCACAGAAGACGGACAGGTCATCGCCTCGGGCAGAGAAGTGGCCTCCGCCGGGGCCCACCTGGCCGGAGGCGGCACCCAGTACGTGGTGCTGGAGTCCGGGGAAGCCAGGAAAGGGCTGCGGGCCGTGACAAGAGGAGGGGTAGCAGGACAGAGTCAGATGGTTTCTGAGTCGTCCACAGCTCTGGACGCTCTCCTCAGTGCCGTCAGCGAAATGGGCCATCAGGAGGAAATGCAAGGAGAGGCAGCTGTCATTCATGAGGTGGTGACCTCTGAGGGAGCGGAGGCCGTGCAGAGCGGGGCTCAGTCGGAGGTGAAACAGGAGCAGGAGGAGATGCAAGTCATCCAAGAGAGAGGCCGGGGGGACATGCAGGAGGTGCTGCAGCTCGCAGCGTCCCAGATGATGAAGGAAGGTTTGACACAGGTTATTGTTAACGACGAGGGGACACATTACATCGTTACCGAGCTGGACAACTGCACCTTACAGGTGGAGGAAGGCGTGTATGAAGGGTCAGGGGCAGGAGAGGAGGAGGAGGTTCAGCAGACAGAGCAGCAGGAAGGAGAGGAGATGGTGGTGTATCTGGATGGAGCCGCTCATAACATCGTGCTGGAAGGCTAGAGGAAGGAGAAAAAAACAAGATAAAGATTTATAGTTTAATGGGAAATCAAAATTGGTCTTCCTCTCCCTCGCCCTCATTTTAACCCTGTTTGGGTCCTCTTTTTTTGTTTTTTTACATGACTTCTGTTTTGTTTCTTTACTCCTCTTTGGGGCAAAGCTAAACTCAGGTTGAACATCATTTATTCAGAGGGACAGTGGAGGAAAGAGGTTTTGGTGCTAAGTGAGTTAACTTGATATCCTCACCACCACCAGGACTACAAACCCCACCTTATTAATGCCATGAACAATTTAAGAACAAAATATCCTCCTGATATTCATTTTCACAATTCTAATATTTTGAGTGTTAAATTATAAAATAAGAATAGAGAACGATATGTTTTCCTCTCTCTTGAGGGGAAAACAAACTTTTCATGCAAATGATTTTTGTTTTCTTTGGAGATACATTGGTTGAAGTTTTGTTCGTGGTGTAATGATTTTTTATGTGTCCAAAGACACGATAGTTTCATTTGGGTTTTTTTTCTGTAGTTTTATTTGAGTTTTTTCCCCTGTAGTAATGATGATCAGTTCTGAAAATATGGATTTGAAGATTTTTAAACCAGATCCTTCAGATGATTTATATGTAACAAATTAGAGTTGATAATTCTACAGTTCAGTCATCCTAAAACATGAATGCAATTTCATTTTTTGACAATAAAGCTTGCTCTTGATTTTTAACATCATGCCCCGATTTTTTTTAAAAGCATTTGTTGTCAGTCACGTCAAGCACACATCTCAGCATCAATTACATGTAGAGTACAGCCTTATGAAAGAAGCAGCATGCACATACATGTATCACATACATGCATCACATGCATGATGGCTCCCATCATGCCTACTGATCACTAACACAGTCATTATCATCACCATCACCATTATCGTTATCATGATCACCATCATCCTAATCGTCATCCTCTCTTCTCTGCCCATCAGGCCCATTCTGCTCATCGTGTACAACACACTCATCCTTTTTTTTCCCCGCCAGTGTTCAGCACTGGAGGGAGAATCAATATTCATTTAGGCCCTACACAGACCTGCTTTTCTGATGGAGTGAGTGGGAGAGCGCTATGACGGCTGCAAACACAATGGCCGACCGCTGAAAGTACAGAGACAAAGCACTCATACACACCGAGGGCATCAAAAGATCATCCCTTTAGCACACGCGCGCACACACTGCGCACGCAGAGCGAGAAGGTGGGCTGACAGAGAGAGAGGGAGAGAGTGGTGGAGGAGTGGGCAGGAAAAGTGAGAGGATTACCGATGGATGTTGAGAGAGGTGAGGCCAGAGAGAAGTGAAAGAGCAGCAGAATCCACAACCACCCAGAGAGGAGGGGGCCTGTAATTTAACAAAAGACCTGTCTGCCTTTCAGCCTGTCTTTGTCTCCTGCTCCGGGTTCTACTTGTGGACTCACTCACTCTTTTCACGCTCTTATTTTTTCCCATTCAGCAAAGATGGGCAGGTGTATGAAAGGTTATGTTCTCTGAGTGAGCATCAATACCTGCCTGAGAGCAGGGAGCCAAAGTTTTTTTATCACTCTGAGTGGTTAGAAAAGTTACGCTAACATTGAAGTGCCTCACATTGAATCATTTAGCACCACCTTAGAATTGACTCATGTCAAACTACAGTCAGAGGTGTGTTTGTCTGTGGGAGTAGTTGTAGTAGGTGGTCAATCATTTACAGACACAAAAAGGTAAGAATAATTCATCATTACAATGTTTTTAATTTCTATCCAGGCAATAGTCTTACCACTACTCAGATGTAGCCACAGCTTTGACGGTTATTGATCTTAGCTCTGGAAACACTGCTATTAATAACAATAATAAAGTGCTTTTTAGGTACTCAAAGACGCTGCACATAGTTTAAGTTAAAATATTAAACAACATAAAGATAGAGTTCCAGACCTTCTTTATTAAGTTAAAAAACATCCCGATAAAAGCCTTTAATTATTATCCATTTTAATCTTAAAATTGTAATCAAATTTATTTTTACATAAAGCAAATAAATACATTTTTATCATCTCTAGCCAACCTGTTTGTCAAACTTTATTGACCAAAATTTCAATGTCATAAAAAGAAAACAGTTTATAAGAGATGATGTTGATGATGTTGATAATATTGATTGATCGATTGAATGGATAAAATTGGAGACACGGGGAGCCGTTGGCCTTGTGGTTAGTTTGTACATGCCATGTACCGATGCTGCAGTCCTCGAGCGACCTGTTGCTCATTTGGAGCATGTCATTCCCCACTCTCTCTCTCTCTCTCTTCTCTCTCTTATTTCTGACTCTATTCACTCACTGTCCAATTTCTGAAACAAAGGTTTGAAAAGCCCAAAAAAAAATCTTCATAAAATATTGGAGACATGTTCTCACCATGATGGTTTACAGGGGAAATAGAGTAACCAGAGTAGACTTCACATAAATGTATAAAAAATTATAGAAATGCAGTCAGGACATCTCATTAAGCATAAGTGAAAATTACAAATCTCTCAATAAGAACAAAATGATAAAAAGGTTTTTTGTTTTTTGAAAATAGCAAACAGAAAATGTGTTTTGTAGTTTGATGTATGAACGTTTTACTATGTTCTTTGTCACATTTCTTCTCCACACAATCATGAATATGACATTTTCTCATTGACCTTATATGAAAGGAAAGGTCATCTGTGACACATCAAAACAGCTCTCCATTAACATCCTCAGTGCACTCTGTGTGTGTGTGTGTGTGTGTGTGTGTGTGTGTGTGTGTGTGTGTGTGTGTGTGTGTGTGTGTGTGTGTGTGTGTGTGTGTGTGTGTGTGTGTGTGTGTGTGTGTGTGTGTGTGTGTGTGTGTGTATGATGGTGTTTGGCTTCTGAATAGGAATCTGTCTGTCTGTCTACTGCCATGCTTTCACATAATTCTGCAGTGATTATGTATTGTATCGTGTGCATCTCCACCCTCCCCGTGTTGCTCTCTAATCAGGGCTGGATGGCTCATTATTAACTGCAGCAGGCCACTCGTGTGACATGGGAGAGAGAGAAATTAGCAGCTGTCACCCAGTGATGAGTTCATTTCCTGACAGGCCTCTGCTCTGAAGAGTCCTGCAGCAGACGACCAGACGGCTGATGGAAACCTGCTGCTGATGCTTAATTGGAGAGCCGGAAAAGGGCAGGGGGGGGGGGGGGGGGGGGGGGGGCAGTGGAGAGATGAGTGTAAAGATGTGGAAGCATGGGTGGAAGTAACACATTATAGTATCAAGCAACGCTAAGGATGTAAATATCTTTTAGGCTACTTCTTTGGTATTATTAGGCTCATTCCTGTGCAGCCAGGCACCGTTAGGTAAAGCTACTTTTACTAGATGAGGTACCTCAGTCTACTGCATAACTAAGTGCTTGATCATCTTAGAAACCATGATGTAGTGCTTTATTTGAATAGATCTTCACTGACATTAACATGCTGCTTAGTTTTTTACAAAACTTTATTAATCACTTGAGGGGAAATTCAAATTTGACACTTTGTTTGACACATTTGTTGAACTCTGATGCACCAACATGATCCTGTTGACATGCACTAACGGACTGAAGTCAGAGTGAGGGGGCTGCCCGCAGCGAGCCCTCCTGGGTTGGTTGGGGGTAAAGTACCAATTGCTCAAGGGAACCTTAGCAGTGTTCAGGAAGTGAACTGGCATCTCTCCAGTTACCAGACCAATAAGATTTGTCCCGCTCTGTGACTTGAACCGACGACCCGCCAGTTCCCAACCAAAGTCCCTACAGACTGAGATACTGCTGCAACTTCACATCAGTGTATTAAAAAAAACATTTTTTTAATTTGAAATAAATGTTACTTTAGATGCCCTATATTGCTATGCTCAATCGTTTTATAAGAACAGCAGATCATGACCGTGTCTATGTTGGGCAAATTAAAGTGCCTTTGTAATATTGGGAGTTCCGTTTATGTATCGTTTTTTTCTCTCTAGCTTGCATGGACTTATGAATTCATCCAGCCGCCCAGGTGTGATAAGGCCTCAGAGTGATCTGTAGAGCTGAATTACTTTGAGGTTGGAATCAACAAAGCAGCAAAGTTTGACCTTAACCTTTCAAGTTTTTCTTTAATTCTGGACCAACTGCAACCAAACAAAAAAATAACTTGAACAGCAGTCTTTTGATATCTTCTGGACTTGCTGCTTAGTTAGAGTTAGATGCTATCCCTTTGCATAGCCAGCCTTCCCTTCTACAATCCTACATATCATTTAGCAGACACTTTAGTCAAAAGCGACGGTTTGATCTCCAGCTCCTGCAGTTACATGTCTGATCTGAGCAAGACACTTTACCCAAAATTGTCCCCCCGTCTTTGTTGGCACCTTATGAACTAGATTAGTTAATACTGACGGAAACTTCCTGACATCCTCTGTCATCAGTGTGTGAATGTGTAGGTGTGACCAGCTGTGTAAAAGTGCTTTGAGTGGTCAGAAGAATAGAAAAGAGCTATACAAGCTCAAATCCATTTACCATTTCCAGGCAGTACACATTACACAGATGAGGGACACATATTAGTGTTCCAAAAAACATGCAAAAGTGTATTAGCATGATGTGACCTTCAAGTTAAACGTTGAATTGCACCCATAGAAATTATATAACATATTATGTAACAAGCAACAAATTCTCATCTTTTTATATCCTACATACTTGTGCTTGAAAGAACATGAAAGCAGCGCTGAGAATAATAACTGTGGCAGCTGGTGGAAGAACCTGGTCTAGATATTTATTTTGACTCTGGAACTCTTTACTACTACTACTACTACAAAGCCTAACCCACTGTGGGCTGGATGGGACTGGAGTAGGGCCACAGTGTGTTTGGTGACACACACACACACACACACACACACACACACACACACACACACACACACACAGACACAGACACACAAATAAATAGCTTAGTCACGTGTGCACTCTCATACATAGAAACACTAACTTGCCCGTGATCCCCGGGGCAACACTCATCACTCTCCTGGGGAAAACTGAGAGGGACAGAAGTGTGTACAGGGCTCTCCTTCTCTCTCTCTCTCTCTCTCTCTGTTTCTCTGAGTATGATAAATATGGCAATTCTGTTTAGTCGCCATCTATAGAAACATATCAGCCTGAGGATCATTTTCTTAATGTCTCTACTATTAGTTTTGGCTTCCCTGTGGCAGTATTAGCATGCCTGCTGATACGCTCTGCTTGTGCGTCTGTGCGTGTCCTCAGGGCTCCAGGTACAATTCTATTAAACCCGACTTGTTTGTTTATTTCCTGTCCGTCTCCCCCCCTACACGCGCCCTGCCTGCTAGAATCCTGAAACCCTGCCGTGTACATACATCCATGCTAACATCGATAGGCCACGTAGAGATGCTTGTACACTCAGAATCCAATGTTTGTTTTTGTCATTTTTGTTGCTGTAAATCGATAGTTGTTGGAGGCCGAGGTGGAGCGCAGGGGAAGCCGCGGTTCAGTTACGGTTCATCTCTTCCTTGGGAGTTATTATGGGAAAATGGGGAGGAAGGGAAGGGAAGGGAAGGGAAGGGAAGGGGGGGTGGGTGTAGGGGAGAGCCCTGCGTGGCTCTTCTCCTTTTCTCTTACTTTTCCTATGTGGCTCTGCATTTGTGTCTTTGATCATGTTAATCCCTGCCTAGTGCCCCCCCCCCCCCCCCGCCATAGACTCAC